TGAGCTCTGCTCTGATTGGCTGTTTCACAGCGCGGCTCATTTCAGTAGCTCACACAGCAGGAAGGAAACACGGGGAAAATATATATTTCAATACTGTCTCTCGCAGTTATGTCGTTGGGTAATTGCTTTTGAATGCACGATCGCTTTCACGTTTGAGTTTTGCGATCGCACGTGCTCCGTGTAAACTACAGCGGCAGTACTTACTACACATTTAACAAGATCAGATGCTTGTCAGCGGTGCTCAGGATCTGTAAATCATTCGCCATCGTCCTCAGTCATCTCTCCTTACTCTGTTTATGTGCTAAGTGAAATCTTATGTACTGTAATGTAACAGGCTACCGCTAGCAAGCGGCTAACCATGTCTCTTTAGTGGCTCGCGGTCTTTTATTAGAACGCGCGTTATTTGTTTTCCGTGCCTTTCTGAATACAGACACCAACCCATCCCTGCACAGCCTGGAACATTACATTTATTTCCATGATCTGCCATCTTCACTTGTTTCTTCAACACCTGCAGAACTTCTGATGATTCGGCTGGCGGCTGGCGTAGAACATGGGCGGGTTTATGCAAATGTTGGGGGCGTAACTATTAGTGATCCCGACTGTAACATCACAGTCGGCGTTATGTTCTGATTCGCTTGTTTTTAAGTGGTCTTTTGCTTACATAAGAAGGAGAAAACAATGGTGTTTGAGGCTCACGGCATGTCATTTCCATGCACAGAACTGTTATTATTCAACTATGCCAAGGTAAATACAGTTTTCCATTCTATGGCACCTTTAAAATTCCTTTTTTTTAATTTTTTTTTAACCTTTTTGGATCTTTGAAGTTTTGGTTACCTGGACTTTGGATGGAGGAACAGAAACCTCTCAGGTTTCATAAAAATGTCTTAATTTGAAGATTAACCAAAGTCTTATGGGTGTGGAATGACATGAGGGACGAGGATTTTCATTTCCGGGGCGAACTCTCTCTTTAAAACTACTTCTAGCAAACTAGCGTCATCACCCCACTGATCGGACGCGGCGCCTTCCGACGCCATGAGGTTTTCTGAGCTGTCTGCTGTTCCGATAGATGCTTCCAACTCCAGCATCTCGTCATCGGACGCTCTGGGCTCCAGAGCCAGCATCTCATAGGTCAGTTCTTCCCTAAAGTGAAGCGATAACGACAGTAAGAAATCAAGGAAATAAACAATAAGCATGGCTCAAAAGGTCTTTACTAACTTCTCTTTCTGCAGGTTTTCTATCTGCTGAGACAACACTTTCTCCTCCTGCTGCATGGCTGCTTGCTGCTGCTCACTCAGCGCAGGCTCCGCCCCCTCCTCGCCCGGCTCCGCCCCCTCTGCTGCTCGAGGGCTTAAGGGCGGCGAGGGCGTGTGGCGTAAACGCCCCTTACCCTGATGAAAACAGCAGACCGGAGCATAAGAACTAATTATTCCAGTGTTTTGAATTAAAAATAGGATATCAAGTCCTAGGGTGGCTGTTTTTAAAAACAATAATAAATTAAATGGATGAAATATCAGTTTTCAGATGTCAAAAGTTTGAGTTCACAATTCGCAGAAACTAAAGCTTGAGTGTCGAAGTGAAAAGCATTGTACGTAATTTGGAATTACTATTTACTATTTCAATTTAATTCAATGTAATGTAAATATTATAATAAACATTACACACAAAACAAATAATAAATATTGTAATTGTTAATAATTATACAATTTAAAAAATGTATAAAATGTTTTATTATATAAATGTAAATATGTATATATAAAATGTATAGTTATAGCCTAAATTACACTATTAAATGTGAATGTTTACCAAAAAAAAATCATAATTACAAATTTAGCTATCAAATTAAAGCTATCAATGTAACATTAAATAAACAAAAATAAATAGACAATCATAAAATTTAAAATAAAAAACAAATATATATTTATTTATATACATATATAAATATCTATGTTCATATAAAATTTATATTTATAGTCTAAATTAAACGTATCAAATGTGAATAGTAAAAAAAACATTACAGATATAGCATAAATTAAGCTGTCGATGTAACATTAAATAAACAAAAATAAATGAAAAAATTGATCAATTTTTATTAAAAGTGTATGCTTTATAACTCGTAGAATAGAAACTGAAACTTTCATATCTAAGTGAAAAGCAGTGTAGGTATTTTGGAATTATTAGTAACAGTTCAATTACATTTAATCAAATTGTTATAAGTTGCTATAAGATTACAGATTTAGCCAAAATTAAGCTATCACTCAGTAGGGCAAGCTAGTGTGCTTAACACACGCTGATTTGTGCATAAATGTACTGGTTAATATAAAATGTCAGATTTATATAAAACGCGTATAATTGCGTCTCCGGCTTGTGTTCGCATGTGAATGAATAAAACACAACGTCTAGCACGACTGACGGACAGCACTGCGACGCACGAGACACTAACACACACACAGTCACTGAGCTTTACCTGTTTAGCTGCGCTTGGCTGTGAAATAACGCAAATGCAGGAGAAATAAAAGAAGAGGAGGTGTTAGTAATACAGCAGCACGCCGCATGCGCCGGCAAAACAAACAGGACTTGACATCTGGTCGCTCACAACCAATCACACGACAGCATTTGGTAATTAGCTTGGACAGGTCTTCAACAGGCGCAAATGAACACGTCATCAAACCACGGATGGCAGCTAACGACGCTACACTGACACTGGGACGACGATGTTTCGGCGTGGATACGTACCGCGGTGGCAGTTCTGGCAATGCCAATAAACCTAACCGCAATTAGTACTGGTTTCTGGAAGAGGAGGATGAGGAGAGGAGTGAAGAAAACAGGATTAGAGGAATGTCTGTCTGAAAACATGTGCGACACTTTCCATGAACGAGGCTTTAAAAAAGCTGAGAAGGTCAAACTTGTATTAGCCATTTTAAAAATGTATTTTATGAGTAGTTTGCACATTTTTGCATCCCTGTATCTCAGAATTTGGGACATGACTGAATACAATTGAAAACACTGATTTGTCCGATTTGATTCTAGCAACAAACAAAAATAAATATAAAATAAGTAATTAATTAAGCCTATATTAAGCTATCAAATGTGAATAGTTGAAAAAAAAATCAGTGTACCATAAATTGTATGTATATATTTTAAAAATTGAATATTTGTCTATTTTATTAATGTTATGTTTATATAAATATACATTTGTATATATAAAATTTATATTTATAGCCAAAATGAAGCTATTAAATGTGAATTATTAAAAAATTCTAAATTTGACAAATTTTGAATATATAGAGTTTTAAGTATATTAACAAATAATAATAAATTAAATGGATGAAATATCAGTTTTCAGATGTCAAAAGGTTGAGTTCACAATTCGTAGAAACTAAAGCTTGAGTGTCGAAGTGAAAAGCATTGTACGTAATTTGGGATTACTATTTACTATTTCAATTTAATTAAATGTAAACAACATAATAAACATTACACACAACAAATTGTAAATAATAATAATAATTATTATAATTGTTAATAATTATACAATTGTAAAAGTGTATAAAATGTTTAATTATATATATATATATATATATAAATTAACATTAAACTTAAAAATAAATATAAAAAAATAAGTTTTAAGTAATTAAGCCTATATTAAGCTATCAAATGTGAATAGTTGAAAATAATGTAAATTTAAAAAATGTATCTATCAATGTAACAAATTATGTATATATTTTTTACATTTTATATTTGTCTATTTTATTAATTTTAAGTATATTAAGTATAAATATATTTATATAAAATTTATATTTAAAGCATAAACTAAGCTATCATTGTAACATTCAACAAAAAATAGACAGTAATTATAAATTATATATGGATGCATTTATATAAATTTTAGATTTATAGCCTAGAGTAAGCTATCAGTGTAACATTAAATAAAAAATAGACAGCTGATTTGTGCATAAATGTACTGGTTAATATAAAATGTCAGATTTATATAAAACGCGTATAATTGCGTCTCCGGCTTGTGTTCGCATGTGAATGAATAAAACACAACGTCTAGCACGACTGACGGACAGCACTGCGACGCACGAGACACTAACACACACACAGTCACTGAGCTTTACCTGTTTAGCTGCGCTTGGCTGTGAAATAACGCAAATGCAGGAGAAATAAAAGAAGAGGAGGTGTTAGTAATACAGCAGCACGCCGCATGCGCCGGCAAAACAAACAGGACTTGACATCTGGTCGCTCACAACCAATCACACGACAGCATTTGGTAATTAGCTTGGACAGGTCTTCAACAGGCGCAAATGAACACGTCATCAAACCACGGATGGCAGCTAACGACGCTACACTGACACTGGGACGACGATGTTTCGGCGTGGATACGTACCGCGGTGGCAGTTCTGGCAATGCCAATAAACCTAACCGCAATTAGTACTGGTTTCTGGAAGAGGAGGATGAGGAGAGGAGTGAAGAAAACAGGATTAGAGGAATGTCTGTCTGAAAACATGTGCAACACTTTCCATGAACGAGGCTTTAAAAAAGCTGAGAAGGTCAAACTTGTATTAGCCATTTTAAAAATGTATTTTATGAGTAGTTTGCACATTTTTGCATCCCTGTATCTCAGAATTTGAGACATGACTGAATACAATTGAAAACACTGATTTGTCCGATTTGATTCTAGCAACAAACAAAAATAAATATAAAATAAGTAATTAATTAAGCCTATATTAAGCTATCAAATGTGAATAGTTGAAAAAAAAATCAGTGTACCATAAATTGTATGTATATATTTTAAAAATTGAATATTTGTCTATTTTATTAATTTTATGTTTATATAAATATACATTTGTATATATAAAATTTATATTTATAGCCAAAATGAAGCTATTAAATGTGAATTATTAAAAAATTCTAAATTTGACAAATTTTGAATATATAGAGTTTTAAGTATATTAACAAATAATAATAAATTAAATGGATGAAATATCAGTTTTCAGATGTCAAAAGGTTGAGTTCACAATTCGTAGAAACTAAAGCTTGAGTGTCGAAGTGAAAAGCATTGTACGTAATTTGGGATTACTATTTACTATTTCAATTTAATTAAATGTAAACAACATAATAAACATTACACACAACAAATTGTAAATAATAATAATAATTATTATAATTGTTAATAATTATACAATTGTAAAAGTGTATAAAATGTTTAATTATATATATATATATATATATATAAATTAACATTAAACATAAAAATAAATATAAAAAAATAAGTTTTAAGTAATTAAGCCTATATTAAGCTATCAAATGTGAATAGTTGAAAATAATGTAAATTTAAAAAATGTATCTATCAATGTAACAAATTATGTATATATTTTTTACATTTTATATTTGTCTATTTTATTAATTTTAAGTATATTAAGTATAAATATATTTATATAAAATTTATATTTAAAGCATAAACTAAGCTATCATTGTAACATTCAACAAAAAATAGACAGTAATTATAAATTATATATGGATGCATTTATATAAATTTTAGATTTATAGCCTAGAGTAAGCTATCAGTGTAACATTAAATAAAAAATAGACAATATAATTTTATATACACACACACACACTCTCTCTCTCTCTCTCTCTCTCTCACAAATAACCAAATGTATAGCTGGACGGCATACTGTTTTACAAAAACATCAAATGTAAGGCAGAATACAGTATGTAATGGAAGCTTATTTCTGCCAAGGAATAGAAATATAAAAATTTAATTGCGAATTTTATATTTTTTTCTCAATTTCTCACAGTTTGTATCTTGCAGCTGAAATATATGAACTCATAACTGTGATTTTACATTTAGCAATTCTGACTTTTTTCCTTGAATTCTGAGTTTACATCTCACAAATTTGATACATTTTTTTCCCCTGGAATTCTCAGTTTACATCTCGCAAATGTTTAGTTTTTTCTTGGAATTCTGAGTTTACATCTCACAAATTAGATTTTTTTTTCTCCCAGAATTCAGAGTTTACATCTCGCAATTCTGACATTTTTTTTCTCGCAATTCTGAGTTTACATCTCACAAATTTGATACATTTTTTCCCCCTGGAATTCTCAGTTTACATCTCGCAAATTAGATTTTTTTTTTCTCTCTGAATTCTCAGTTTACATCTCGCAATTCTGAAATTATTTTCCCGGAACTCTGAGTTTACATCTCGCAAAGTAGATTTTTTTTCCGGAATTCTGAGTTCACATTTCGCAATTTTGCAGTCTTACGCAGTGGTCTTGCTGATGTCCCGGACGCTCTGTAACGGGTCGGTGGTGTCGGGACAGCGCAGTATGCAGGGTGCAAACACGATGGCCACCGCGTTGGCAGACATGCGATTTGTCTCCTCCTGGAATGAGATCCTGAAACAAACCAGCATAAGACATGAAACATAACTTGACCATCCTGCTGTATCTACAGGCACTGGGTAAAAGCATCCAGGCTATCGTCTCACCGGACCAGGTGGAATATGAGTCTCTCCAGTGTGCTCAGGTGAGTTCGGCTGAGCTGATCGATGACCGAATAAACCCCCTGAACCACCTCACGCTTATCCTGCAGACCTACACCAGCCAAAGTGACAACACACACACATCATATCCACGTAAATCAGCTCAAATGTGAGTGTTTTGCTGAAAACAGTGAGAGAACAGGATTCAAGACAATCTACTTAAAGGGATAGCTGACGGTACCATTGACTATCACAATATTTTTTTCTGTACCATGGGAGTCAATGGCTACCGTCGACTGATTGGTTACCCACATTCTTCAAAATATCTTCTTTTGTGTTCAACAGAAGACAGACATTCATACAGGTTTGGAACAACATGAGGGTGACTGTCCCTTTAAGAAAGAAGTTAAGAAATTTTTAAAGATATATTCTAAGAAATTAAGTTCTAAGAAATTATTCTAAGAAATTAAGTAATGTTTTCTTAAAAAAACTCCTCTATGATTGTATGTTGGTTTTTGCAGAAGACTTGCTGATCAACTCGATGCATATTAATGTAATAATCATAATATGTGCACACTATTATTGCAGAGACCTGCTTGACGGGAGTTCAGCATTTTTTTAAATTTATATTTTTATTTTGAATGTATTTTAAATAGTAATTAAAGATTTTGCCAAAAAACAAGGTCAATATTTGGCTCATTTTTGTAGTTTGTTACTAAATTTTGAATTCAGAAAAAAAGTCTAGTCATGCATAATCATGACCAAATGCAAATGCATGACCAATCATTGTAACCTTATCGATAACTGGTGTCACTTTAGGTTTATTATATGTAGCTAGTGTTATGTTGTAAAGCTTAATATTTGAAATAACCCAATAAATTCAATAAACATCTTACCAATGGGGATTTAAGACAAGTTGGGGATTATCCCAACTTCAAGTAATTTAGGATGATTTTTAAGAAAAAACAAGAACATTCCTAAGAAGTATTTTTGGGAACACACAAATGTATGAAAATAAGAAAACAGCAGTTAAGAAGAATTCTATTTTTAAGAACGTTTCGTAAATCCGATATGTGCTCATACCCATAGCCCTGAGGAACTCCTCATAAAATTCAAAGGTCATGAGGGGGTTGGGAAGGTCACGCAGCCACTGTTTCAGCACACTGGCGATCACATGGATGTTGTAGTCGTCTAAATTCACACTGTGCACATCTGCAATGAAGGCAAACATGCAGTGCTGTTCATGAAGGTTTCTACTTGACTAAATGTTACTGTAAGATGTCATTAGTGTGTAGCTCACCGGTGTCCAGCCCCTGCTTGAGTTCTTTGATTTTATTGGTGGATCCAGACTTCCTGTAGATGCCCTCGGTGTAGAGGCCATGCATCTCGATGTAGTTGATCAGCTTCTCCACCACCAGCGGGACGGCTCTCTCATCGCTCGTTAAACGAGACAACTCTACGCCAAACTGCCGTGAAGACAGCTCGGGGTCAAACTGAGCGCACACACACACACACACAAATGAATCACATGAAAAGTATGACTAATGAAGTTTGAAGCACAAAGATGATTCACATACAACTGGTGACGGCACTGAATATTCTCTCTCCTATGATAAATTATCTTTCTGAGACATGTACAAGTTTAACACCCTATTAGACACCCTAGCAACCACCCAGAACACCCTAGCAACTGCATAGCAACACCCTAACAACCACCCAGAATACCCTAGCAATTGCATAGTAACACCCAAGCAACCACCCAGAACACCTGGACGACTGCATACCAACTATCCAGAACACCCTAGCAACTACATAGCAAAACCCTAGTAACCACCCAGAATACCCTAGCAACTGCATAGCAACACCAAAGCAACCGCCCAGAACACCTGAACAACTGAATAACAACTATCCAGAATACCCTAGCAACTACATAGCAACACCCTGGTAGCAACCACTCCGAATACCCTAGCAACCATTCAGAACACCCTAGCAACTACATAGCAAAGCCCTAGCAACCACCCAGAATACCCTAGCAACTGCACAGCAAGCACCCAGAACACATGAATGACTGCATAACAACCATCCAGAACACCCTAGCAACTACATAGAAAAACCCTGGTAGTAACCACTCCGAATACCCTAGCAACTATTCAGAACACCCTAAAAACTACATAGCAAAGCCCTAGCAACCACCTATAACCAAATGTATAGCTGGACGGCATACTGTTTTACAAAAACATCAAATGTAAGGCAGAATACAGTATGTAATGGAAGCTTATTTCTGCCAAGGAATAGAAATATAAAAAAGGTAATTGCGAATTTTATATTTTTTTCTCAATTTCTCACAGTTTGTATCTTGCAGCTGAAATATATGAACTCATAACTGTGATTTTACATTTAGCAATTCTGACTTTTTTCCTTGAATTCTGAGTTTACATCTCACAAATTTGATACATTTTTTCCCCCTGGAATTCTCAGTTTACATCTCGCAATTCTGAATTTTTTTTCTCGGAATTCTGAGTTTACATCTCACAAATTTGATTAATTTTTTTCCCCTGGAATTCTCAGTTTACATCTCGCAAATTAGATTTTTTTTTTCTCTCTGAATTCTCGGTTTACATCTCGCAATTCTGAAATTATTTTCCCGGAACTCTGAGTTTACATCTCGCAAAGTAGATTTTTTTTCCGGAATTCTGAGTTCACATTTCGCAATTTTGCAGTCTTACGCAGTGGTCTTGCTGATGTCCCGGACGCTCTGTAACGGGTCGGTGGTTGCATACCAACCATCCAGAACACCCTAGCAAATACATAGCAACACCCTGGTAGCAAACACTCCAAATACCCTAGCAACCATCCAGAACAACATTGCAACACCCTAGTAGCAACCACTCCAAATACCCTCTCAACTGCATAGGAACATCCTAGAAACCACCAAAAATATCCTAGCAGCTGCCTAACAACCACCCAGAGCACCTTAATAACTGCATAACAGCACCTTAGCAACGACCCAGAACACCTGAACAACTGCATACCAATCATACAGAGCACCCTAGCAACTTCATAGAAACACCCTATTAGCAATCACTCCAAATAGCCTTGTAACTGCATAGCAACACCCTAGGAACCACTCCAAATAGCCTAGCAGCAATCAGAACACCCTAGCAATGACCCAGAACACTTGAAAACTCCATATCAACCATCCAGAACACCTAGCAAATGCATAGCAACATCCTATCAACCACCCAGAATATCCTAGCAACCACAAGCAACATCCTATCAACCACCCAGAATATCCTAGCAACCACACAGCAACATCCTATCAACTACCCAGAATATCCCAGCAACCACACAGCAACACCCTAGTAGCAATCACTCCAAATACCCTAGTAACTCCATAGCAACACCATAGCAACGACCCAGAACACCTACACACCAACCATCCAGAACACCATCACAACTGCATAGCAACACCCTTGTAGCAATCACCTCAAATACCATAGCAACCTCAGAAACGCCATAGCAACGCCCTAGCAACCAGTATGTCTGTCTTTCTATCTGATAAACGGAATGTATCACCTTCAAACCAATCAAATTCAAGGTTTAAAACTACTTCAAACTTTTAAAAGTACTACAGGCTTACTCAGGCCAACATCAGAGATGGTCTTGATGAACGTTTTACTTTAATGAAGGTTTGAGGCACAAAGATTCTGTGGTTCAAAGATGAGTCACATCCAATATCTAGACCGCAGACTCAGAAGGATGACCTATCTGTCGGTCAAGCACTACTTTAAGGCGTTCTTACCTTCTTACTGCATGTGGTGGTCATCCTCAGACAGCACTTCTTGTGACACGCATAGCGGCAGACTGAAGAAAACCAGAAACAACAAGCACACAGTTAACGGCGGATCTGAGCACCAGCATCACGTTTCCTGCTCACATCTGTGAGGATATCATCGATCATGTCCAGATGAAATCGGATGAATTTACAGGGAAAAAATCTGATTATGCTGCTCTCAAGACTAGCGGACAGACACTTAGTGACTCGGATCAGAACACGGGAAAGAGAGACTGCAGACTATGAAGACTGAACTGTGTCAAAACTTTGTTACTTACTATCATTGATACAGATTGGTTAATATTTAGAATTACATTTTTTATATTTTGTGTTTTCATTTTAATTTAGGTAAAGTTTTAGTAATTTAGATTTTTATTTTTGTCAATGGGTGTATAGTTTTTATTAAGTTTTCATTTATTTAAATGTTATTTTAGTACTTCAACAGTGCTGCCTTGATACAACATAATATACAGTATATGTTTAAGTTAATGTTTATTTTAATTTAAATGATGAAAATGTTTCTTTATAGTTTTAGTTTTAATAAAAGATAACAATCCTGGTCAAAACCAAGACATCTTGGTAAACTTGAATTAGAAATGTACATCTTAAATTATAATTAAGTTAATGGCACAAAAATATATTTAATGTATTTTGTGAGACTGCTGTAATTATTATTCATGAAAATAAAATGAAGGCATGAGAATACTCTCGCTTGAGTCCCTCTATAACGTCGAGTGAAAAATTTCCCAGACTGAAAATGATTAAACAGGACTCACGTTTGCAGACACACGCTTTGTCCATCATCCAGATGAGTGACGAGCAGAACTCGCAGTATGTCGGGATGCTGTACTGAGTGGATTTAAAGATGTGACCCATGTGCTCTTCCACCTGCAGAGGGCAGCAGAGCGCTGAAGATGTTACCAAGAATTCAATACTCACGAATGGTTTTACAATTTACACAGATATTCATTCGTAAATGTATTCTTATGTAAATTATAGTGACAATTCTACAGTCGCACAAAAACATTCTAATGTAAATTGCTGCGTAAACTATTCTTTCGTACGCGGTCACAAAACGCCATATATAAACTGAAGTTGACAGTTTACGCAAGAATGATTTTCGAAAACAATTTATTTATTTGCAGGATTATTCTTAAGTAAATTATAGTGAAAATTCTACAGTTGCACAAAAACATTCTAACATAAATTGTTGCGTAAAATTATTTAGTACATTTTTGCATAAAACCATTCATATGTAAAATAATTGACAAAGTTTACGAAAGAATGCTTTTCGTCAAAAATTCACATAGAAATTAATTCATAAAACTTCTTAATTATAGTGACAATACTACAGTCGCACAAAAACATTGCAACGTAAATTGCCACATAAAACTATTATTTTGTAAATTTTCACATAAGAAACACTTAACTACACTGAATGCGACAAATTACCCAAGAATGTTTTTTACGAACAATTTACACAAATTAATTAGTGTAACTAGTCTTAAGTAAATGATAGTGACAATTCTAGTCGCACAAAAACATTCTAATGTAAACTTCTATGTAAAAACACTCTTTCGTAAACTGTCACATAAAAGATTTTTAGCTACACTAAATGTGACAATTATGCAAGAATGGTTTTACGAATAATTTACTCATTGAGTTTCATGAATGAGGTCCAATCAAAGTAGAATTAGTTTTTATTTTTACATTTTCAGCTTTCATTTTAAAGTATTAGAATTTTTTGTTGTTTTTGCCATTTTATTGCTAACTGTTACACAAGCCCATTACACAATAACAATGATCTAGTTTAAAACAAGGACTGACGGTGTCCGATTCCTTTTTCCTCCTCTTCTTCCTCTCAGGTTTAGGAGCCTGAAAAACAAACACAAAGTCTCAGAAGAGTTTTGGAGGACAATACGTGTTTGTGGACTGAGAGAGACGCTTTACCTTACTGATGGTTCCGTCCACTGGCTTGTATTCGGTCATGAACTCATCGAGGAAGACTTTAAATGTGTTGACCCAGACTTTAACCGGCGACTCGCTCCAGTCTCTCTGCTCCAGACGCATGTTCTTCTCTAAGATGTGCTCGAACAGAGCGTAGAGATCTTTATAACGAATGCTCCTGCCATCATCCATCTGAGGGTGAGACACATTCAGGGCGAGATTCTGGAAGTGAGAAGCTGTTTTCCGGGTTGCTTTAAAGTCACAGTAAAATGTTGGATTTCAGAAACTCACGGCCAGAGCAGTAGAGTACGAGTTGAAGATGTTGAGGCGGAACTCTTTCAGGGCCTTCTTGAAGACCACATCCACCGGTGTGTCCTTCTGACTGTCTTCAGCTTCTAGATCGCTGATCTATGAAACGTCCGATTAGAGATATTTAATATTTTGGCAACTTCTTCCAACTTCAAATAAGAACTTCATTAAACACATTTTACCGTGTGATTCATTTAGCAGAATTTTGCTGAACGAATTTCTCTGTAAATCCTTCTAAAACCGTACTTACGTAACGGTTTTGTAACAACTGAATTGTTGTGACAATTTTTATATAAATTTTGTAAAACCTTTCTTATGCATACAATTTATGCAAGAAATTTTTAGCAAATAATTTGCACAGATATAAAACTATTCTTATGTAAATTATGGCAAAAATTCTAGTCATATAAAACCACTTATGTAAACTGCATGTAACCGGTTGAACAAGAATGGTTTTATGAACAATTTGTAGAAATATTTGTTTGTACAAATATTCTTACATTTTACATAATTACAAATTTCATAATTTGTACATAAACGGTCACATTATGGCATTCTGGATGCATAAATTGTCACATAAAACCATATTACTATCAATTTATACAGAAATTAATTCATAAAACGAACAATTTCTATGAATTTTATAGTTGCACGAAACATCTAAGGTAAATTGTAAAACAATGCAAAAATTATTTCGTAAACTATTCTCGAGTTTACACACAAGAACGGTTTTACGAACAATTTTTACAAGTATTCATTCATATAAAGCTAATCTTAAATTATATGGTGATATTTCGACAGTCATACACAACCGTTCTTATGTCAATTATTAAGTAAAAAAATATTTCGTAAAGTGTCATAAAACTATTAATATTTAAACTAAATGCGACAGTTTACGTGAGAATGGTTTTACGAGCAATTGAAAGTGAAATCATTAATAAAACTATTCTGAAGTAAATTATTGTGACAATTCTACAGTGGCACAAAAACATTCTAACTTTAATTGTTGCACAAAACTATTCTTTCGAAAATTGTCACATAAAATCCTGCATATGTGAACTGAACGCGACAGTTTACGCAAAAATGGTTTTATGAACAATTTACACAAATTCATTAGTAAAACTATTCATAAGTAAATTCTAGTGACAATTCTAGTGACATTCAAACGTAGACTGTTGCATTAAACTATTCTTTCGTAAATTGTCACAAAATCATTCATGTTTAAACTGAATTTGACAGTTTATGCAAGAATGGTTTATCAAACAATTTACGCAGAAATTCAGCACTAAAACTATCCGTATGTAAATTATAGTGACAATTCTACAGTGGCACAAAAACATTCTAATGTAAATTGTTGCGAAAAAAACGATTCCTTCGTAAATTGTCACAAAAACCATTAATATGTGAACTGAATGGTTTACGTGAGAATGGTTTTACGAACAATTGAAAGTGAAATAATTAGTAAAACTATTCTTAAGTAAATTATAGTGACAATTCTACAGTGGCACAAAAACATTCTAACTTTAATTGTTGCACAAAACTATTCTTTCGAAAAATTGTCACATAAAATCCTGCATATGTGAACTGAACGCGACAGTTTACGCAAAAATGGTTTTACGAACAATTTACACAAATTCATTAGTAAAACTATTCATAAGTAAATTCTAGTGACATTCAAACGTAAACTGTTGCGTAAAACTATTCTTTCGTAAAACTGTCACGTATACCTTTTCATGTGCACTGAATGCATCGTTCACACAAGAATAGTTTAACAAACAATTTACAGAGAAATCATTAGTAAAACTATTCATAAGTAAATTCTAGTGACAATTTCACATTTTCACAAAAACATTAATGCGAACAATTCAAGAGTTTGGGCAAAAATGTTTTTTTCAAACAAGTTACTCCGATATTAATTCGTAAAATTATTCTTAAGTAAATTATAGTGAAAATTCAATAGTTGCATAAAAACATTCTAACTTTAATTGTTGCATAAAACTATTCCTTCGTAAATTGTCACATAAAATATTCACATGTAAACAAATTTACCCAAGAATGTTTTTTACGAACAATTTACACAAATTAATTCGTGTAACTATTCTTAAGTAAATGATAGTGACAATTCTAGTCGCACAAAAACATTCTAATGTAAACTTCTGTGCAAAAAACATTATTTCGTAAACTGTCACATAAAAGATTTTTAGCTACACTAAATGTGACAATTATGCAAGAATGGTTTTACAAATAATTTACTCATTCATTTTGCTTGATTTTCTTGAATGAGATCCAATCAAAGTAGAATTTTGTTATACTCCGTTTTCATTTTAATTTTATTTACCGTTTTAGTAATTCTAAGTCATGCATTTTTGTCAATTGTATTAGTTATCTATTAAAGATGTATATATAGGTTTTTTATTCATTTTTATTTCAGTACATCAAGTTAAACTTAACTAAATGAAAATGAGAAATGTTGCCTTGGCAACTAACTGAACTTAAAAGTTTAAGTTTTTTTTTTTTTTTTACTTATTATTTTAGTTTTAGTTCATTAAAAAAATACTGCTTTATACTAAACTTTTTTTTAAAATAATACATATAATTTTTTAGATATACAGTAATATAGATAACATAAAAAGTTCATATAAAATATTAAAATGTAAAAAATATTATAGTAAAAGTATTATATTTTTTAGATACAGTAATATACTGTAGATAACATATAAAAAAGTTCATATAAAATATTTAAATGTAATACAAATAAAAATAAAATAAAAATAAAATTATAGTATAATAATTGAAGTTATATAGTTATTAAAATATATCTATAATAACGATATAACTATACAATAACTATAACTATATAATATTTTTTAAATAATACATATGATATTTAGATATACAGTAATATATAGATTATATATTACTAAAAATATAAATATTCAAATGTAACAAAATATTATATTATAGTAAAAATTAAGTAAAATTAATTACAGTAATTAAAGTATTAAAAATACTGTTTTTATACTAAAAACTTTTTTGAAATAATACAATGAAATAAATCATATACATTTGAAAGAAATATTTCAAAATCTCACTTATAAAGCGGAGAGTTCCGGTGCTTGATTCTGATTGGCTGAGCCACGTTCAAAGCTGTTGTAAATGACTCTACAATAGGGCCTTTCGCACCGCAGGAACCTTTTCATAGTACCAGAACTAATTGTGGAACTACCCACTTTTCGGCGTGTTCGCGTGTTTATGGAATAACAATTTTATAAAAGCAATAAGCCTCGTGAAGCCGTGATTTACAGTGAATTTATAACCGCTAAAGGGGTTTAACTCCGCTTCGTCGTACCTAACAACACCTCTTAGCTGTTATAAATTCACTGTAAACCACGGCTTCACGGGGCTTATCGCTTTAAAAAAAAAGAAGAAGGAGGAATGCTTCTGCAATTAAAAATTCTGAACAGATAAAGTTTCTCACCTCTCTGGTTTTTAACGATCTGAATCCCGCCTCTCTTTGGATCTCCAGAGATCGCTCCTGATTCACCAGGTCTTTGTCAGACCTGAAAAACACATAAAAACACATACAACTCTCTGCATGTCATTGCATGAGATGTTTGCTCCCGCAGGAAGATCTGGCAGGTCAGGTGGATGTAAACTCACTTGGAGAAGGTCAGTCGGCTGCGTTTGGGACAGAAGGCTTTCTCCTTCATACTGATGCTGATGCTTTGAGAAACAAACTTCTTCTGAACCTCTGAGTCCCTCGAGTCCAGCTGGAGGGGTTTGGAAGAAGGGGTTTGAGGTTCAGGGTCATCTGAATGATCGGAGGACGACAATCCATTCGCTCTGTCCTCGGTGTCTCCACAAACCTCCTGAGCATCCATGGGCTGGAGTTTCTGCAGAGCGTCCAGGCTGCTGTGCTCGACTGGGTTCTCCTGCATGCTGATTATGACCACCACAGACTCCTTCTTCTCCTGGGTCTGCTTGTGCGGGCTGCCGTCCTCGTCTGCGATGTAGAAATGAGGTTTGAAGGACGCCGGACTGCTCCGGTTCTCCTCCGTCGGCTCGGATTGGGACGTCGCCGGTTCCTCGTTGGGAAGGATGAGGAGTTCGAAGTTTTCTCGACTGTCCGGAGGTTGATGTTTGGAGAGCGCGGTCTGAGCGGGAAGCACGTCGTCCACTGAACCGGACCTGACTTTGAGCAGCTCTAGATTGAACGTGGCTTGCTGGAGTTCCCGTTGCCTCCTGCTTTCGCGTTTGGAGCGGCTCTTCAGCGTGCTGTCGTCTACGCTTCTGCGAGCTCTGGTGGATCGACTCTCTCGCTTCTCCTCTTGGACGTCAGCTGGGTTTTGATGGGCGTGTGAACTTTTGCTCACAGTGTTTTCACAGAGGCTTTTCTCTCCACGTCGCAACTCTCTCAGAATGCGGCACCTAAAAAACAACACACATTTATGACACTTTTATCCGGTAAGGACCAACTACACACTCGGGAAATCAACTAAATATTAAGACACAGATATATATATTCTATATAGTCTTATAATATTCTGATACCTCTTATGTGTGCATATATATATATATATATATATATATATATATATATGCAAGTAAGCTTGTTTGTTTACTGTGTTGAGACGTGCTGAAGTTACATTTGGTCTCGTACTCTATTGCATACCTTGTCAGTGTCGTGCGCTTGCTTAGACCTTTGTTGTGATAAACAGTAAAGTGTGTTCAGCTGAATTCAATTTCCGTTTTGTCCGACGGGTATAAAAAAGGTTAGTATACCGCGGCAGCCCTCCTCCTGTTAAGACCGAAGAGTGTAAAGACCATTGACTCTACCGTGCGACTCCACCGGGCAGGGACACCGGCAAGGGATATAAGTATTGTATTGCCTACTACTTGTTTCAGTTTTTATAACCAATTCTTACTATGTGTTTTCAGATCCCTACTATCACTACCACTCACAAGTCACGTTTCACACACTAATCAAGCAACCAACTGGACCTTATTTACACACGACACTGCTCCACTGATCATGTGCTGGTTACTCCACTGCACACCTCGGATCACTTCCTCCTCACTCTTACCCTCAACATGGTTCCTGACACAACACATACCCCTACACATGTCATCTTTCGACGTAACCTACGCTCTCTCTCACCCACAGTAAAGTGTGTTCAGCTGAATTCAATTTCCGTTTTGTCCGACGGGTATAAAAAAGGTTAGTATACCGCGGCAGCCCTCCTCCTGTTAAGACCGAAGAGTGTAAAGACCATCGACTCTACCGTGCGACTCCACCGGGCAGGGACACCGGCAAGGGATATAAGTATTGTATTGCCTACTACTTGTTTCAGTTTTTATAACCAATTCTTACTATGTGTTTTCAGATCCCTACTATCACTACCACTCACAAGTCACGTTTCACACACTAATCAAGCAACCAACTGGACCTTATTTACACACGACACTGCTCCACTGATCATGTGCTGGTTACTCCACTGCACACCTCGGATCACTTCCTCCTCACTCTTACCCTCAACATGGTTCCTGACACAACACATACCCCTACACATGTCATCTTTCGACGTAACCTACGCTCTCTCTCACCCTCTCGACTATCTGCTATAGTTTCATCTTCCCTTCCTTTTCTTAAACAGTTCTCATCTCTTGATGTTAACAGTGCTACTGATACTTTCTGCTCTACTCTTACATCTTGTTTAGACAGTATCTGCCCCTTGTCTTCCAGACCAGCTCGTACCACCCCTTCTGCCCCTTGGCTGTCTGTGAGTATCATTCTAAGCTCAGGGCTGCTGAAA